CCACAGTTCCAACAACCTTTCTGGATACCAACCTTTCCCGCTTTTGGCATCTCCCCTGTGTTGAAGTTGCCAACATTGAGCTCTCTTGTGCCCAGGTTTGTTACAGTGCCAGCAAAGTCCCTCAAACCTCTCTGAGAGCTGACCTTTTCTAGCCTTGAATCCAGATAACTGTACCAACCTTGGTACCTCTGTGCTGGACTTAACGTAGGATTCAAATTCGAGAGCTCTGGCCATTGCATCCTGCATAGTAGAGGGGTGTGCTTGCTTCACTTGTATTTTCAGTTGTGGACTGTCCAAGGCATCTACAAACTGACCTCTCAGCAACAACTTGAGGAGATCGGGTGGTGCAGTTGGGTAGGCCTTGTGTGCTATGCTTTCCAAGTCTTGTGCCATCTCTTGCAGGCTCTCCTCTTTAGCACGGACTCTCGTCCTAAACCTAACCCCGTAGACTTCAGACTGATTTTGGGTTCCGCACCTGAGTTCTAGAGCCGCTACCAGTGCTCTATAGTTGTGCCTGTCGTCTGCTGACAACTGTCCAAGTATTTCCAGTGGTTGTCCTTTCAAGTTCGTTGCCAGGTACACTGCTTTCTGCTCTTCTGTCCATCCATTCATTTCTGCCAGGAGCTCTATATGCATTCCACGGTGCCTTTCCATCGAATTCCTGTGGCTTCCTTCGTACTGGATCACCCTTATTGCTGACATTCATATCTGGGATGTGACTTCTAACAGGACTGAAGATGTCTGCATTAGGGTTTAGCTGCAGGGTCTGGAAGGGGCTTGTCATTGTCTGGAGCTGGTTAAGTCGATGGTTAATGTATACTCCTTGTGTAAGAGACAATAAATCGTTCTTTAACGTATCTAATTCGTTTGTAAAATTACTAATGTTTTCCATTTGTACTTCTTGCCATTGTTGTTGATTTTCCTGTAGTTGCTGCTGACTTTCTTCCTTTTTCCTTTCTTGTTCCAGTTGCCACTGCTGTAATCTCTCTTCTTGTTTCTTTTCTCGTTCTTCTTGTTTATTTTCTTTTCCCTCCAACAACTGCTGTAATTTCTCTTCTTGTTTGTTTTCTTTCTCCTCCAATAGCCGTTGTAATCTCTCTTCTTGTTTCTTTTCTCGTTCTTCTTGTTTATTTTCTTTTCCCTCCAACAACTGCTGTAATTTCTCTTCTTTTTGTTTTCTTTCTCCTCCAATAGCCGTTGTAATCTCTCTTGTTTATTTTGCTGTTCGAGCTGCCACTGTTGCAGGTTTTCTTGCAACTGCTGTAATCTCTCTTCTTGTTTCTTCTCTCGTTCTTCTTGTTTCTTTTTTCTTTTCTTTTTCCTCTAACAACTGTTGGAATGTCTCTTCTCCTTCTTCTTGTTTCTTTTCTTTTTCCTCTAACAACTGTTGTAATTTCTCTTCTCATTCGTCTTGTTTCTTTTGCTGTTATTGTATTGCTGCTATTAAGTCTGCTAGGCTGTAGTTTGATTTGCCGCTTCTCGTTTCCATTTTTTTTAATCCCACTTCTGACACCACTTTGTTACGTCTCTGTATGTTTGTTTATTAATTCTTCTAAGATACAAGTCCTTTCTTAATAAAACTTGTTTATTCTTCCTCAATACAACTTTGTAATGTACTTAATTTTCACAGTGACAAACACACTATAGTTCACAACAATTCACTCACTTTCTATCGCGCTTAGACTTAATTGTCCGTCCCCGCAAAGTATAGTTTCGATCCCTGTGTCTGCTATCCTCAGTTCCCGCCGACCGTAATCGCCGTCTTTCTTTCTCTTTCTCTGCCTGCTTCGTCTCTGCCTCTGTCTCTGTCTCCACTACTGCTTCGACTCCCTCTATCTCTCTCACTGTCTAGCGCATTTATATACGATAATACTGCCTGATCTAGAAACTTCTAAGACTCTCAACACGTGCTACCAGCGTCACTTGACTTCGCTGTCGTCACGTGACCCCCGCTGTCGTAACACACTAGCGAATCTTCTAGAATACTCGTCACGTGACCCCCACTGTCGTAACAGTATCTTTACAAGAACTGCTTTGGAACAATTTATTAAATTCAGTTTCAGCCACTCCACGGTTTACTAAACATTAGTATCTTAAAAAGAACCGAAATTAGAAAAATTTCTTACGTTCAGTTCCAGCCACTCAGCCGGCTACTAAACATTAGTATCTTTACAAGAACTGCATTAGAACAATTTATTAAGTTCAGTTCCAACCACTCATCTGGCTACTAAACGTTAGTATCTTTAAAAGAACTGTATTAGAACAACTTATTACCTAAGTTGAGTTCCAGTCACTCAGCTGGCTACTAAAGATTAGAATTTTTACAAGAATTGTATTAGAACAATTTATTAAGTTCAGTTCCAGCCACTCAACTGGCTACTAAACATTAGTATTTTAACAAGAACAATATTAGTAATATTTATTAAGTTCAATTCCAACCACTCAGCTGGGTAGCCAACATTAGTATCTTTAAAAGAACTGTATTATAACAATTTATTAAGTTGAGTTTCAGTTACTCAGCTGGCTACTAAACATTAGTATCTTTACAAGAATTGTATTAGAACAGTTAATTAAGTTCAGTTCCAGCCACTCAGCTGCCTAATAAACATTAGAATTTTTACAAGAACTGTATCAGTAAAATTTATTAAGTTGAGTTTCAGTTACTCAGTCGGCTACTAAACATTAATATCTTTACAAGAACTGCATTAGAACAATTTATTAAGTTCAGCTCCAGCCACTCATCTGGCTACTAAACATTAGTATATTTACAAGAACTATATTAGAACAACTTATTACCTAAGTTGAGTTCTACTCACTCAGCTGGCTATTAAATAGTAGTATATTTACAAGAACTGTATTAGAACAATTTATTAAGTTCAGTTCCAGCCACTCAGCTGGGTACTAAATATTAGTAAGTTTACAGGAACTGTATTAGAACAACGTATTACCTTAGTTGAGTTCCGGTCAATCAGCTGGCTACTAAATATTAGTATGTTTACAAGAACTGTATTAGAACAGTTCACTGCCTATGTTCAGCTCCAGCAACTCTCCTGGCTATTAAACCTCAGTATATTTGAGGAACTGTGTTAGAACAATTTATTTCCTAAGTTTTGTTCCAGTTACTTAGGTGGCTAGTAAACATCAGTATCTTTAAAAGAACTGTATTAGAACAATTTATTAATTTTAGTTTCAACCACTCAGCTGGCTACTAAACATTAGTATTTCTACAAGAACTGTAGCAGTAAAATGTATTAAGTTCAGTTCCATCCTCTCAGCTTGCTTATAAATATTGGTATGTTTACAAGAACTGTATTAGAAAAATTTATTAAGTTGAGTTCCAGTTACTCACCTCACTAGTAAACATTAGTGTCCTTTAAAGAACTGTATTAGAACAATGTATTAACTCAGTTGCAGCTACTCAGCTGGCTACTTAACATTAGTATTATCACGACAGTGGAAGTCACGTGACGTTGCTAACACATGCATGACCGAGTTTCTCGAATTATCGGGGACGCTCGAGTGTGATTGAGTCCCCTCGTATATATAAGCCTAGCGAGAAAAGCCAGCGGTATTGAATGTATGGTAAAGCGAACAGTATGTACGGTTTTTCGGGTAATTTACGATTCTGTTTGGAGCTAGTGTGTGTTTTGCACTCGTAGAGAGTGAAATTATCGAGATTGTGAATCGCTGTGATTTATAGCGTGTATTAGAAAAGTCATTAAATTGAAAGTGATGAGAAAGGTATTGACTGTAGAATTACTGTAGACTAAAAGTTTGTGTCGAGAAATAATAAACTGGTTTAATCAAGAAAGGACTTGTGTAGCTGAAGTTCTTCGAAAATAATTTCTACCGGAAATTAACATACAAGTAGATACGTAATAATATCGATTCAATAGATTTGAAAATAATGAAGTGCTTTTTGTTGAATGATGTATTCATTTCAAGGTAGAGATGAGTAAACTGAAACCTTTCTTGACCTTGATCTATTTATATAACGTGTTTAGTCTTGTTCCACCAAATTCAACATAAAAAGATTTCACCACAAACAACATTATCGTTTCACTGTAATTTTAGGTTTATCTGGAAATATTATTTCTTTAAGAATAACTTGAACAACGAAAATGGTATTTTTTTCCTGGCAAAAGTATATTTGATTTGTTTTGTTTTTCGTGTTAACCACATTAAATGAAGATATGTGTATTATTTCAGGATGTGTGTGATGAAGGACCAGCATTATCTCCATTATATATATCCTCAGCAGTTTCTAGATTCTCCCGAGTTTGAATCTAGCAAAGCTGGGAAAGACGACAAGTTTAAGGTAAGAAATGAAAAATAAAAACATCGATATATTCGTGAACAAACGCGTAGCTGAATAAATATAATATATATATTTGAAATCATCTATCAATTTTAGCTTAGAACACAATTGAGACAGTTTAATGACTTACAACGTCAACATCCGGGCATCGATTCCCTGCCGTGAACAAAGCAAATACCTCAGTGTGACTTTGCTCTAAACATAAATAATAATGTAAGATACAGCAGTTTTTCTTAATCTGTATTCTGTACATTCAGTCTGATATTTTTAATTTGAGCTAAGATTGTTGATTAAAGTAATCTTAAATTTAAAGGATTAGTTTTTGTGTGATTTTTTTTCGTAACAACAAAGGATTTCGATTACTCGGAGGATTGGGAATGTCAGATGTTAAAACTGTTAAGAATGATACTCCTACACCCACGTTTAAACTCAATAACACCTGTTTATCTCGGTGTTTTCCGCAGGTTTCTGTTGTTGCGGTAGCTCCAACTCGGTACATTGTGTGGCGGAGACAGGAGTTAGACCTGCTATTTGTGAAGGAGTCTCACTTGTGCACCGTTTTCTCATTACTTCTTGCTAGAGATATAGCTTACAAGTTGTACGCAATGAACGAAAGGGTAAGACTTGGAATTATTTCTAGATGTGCCGTAACTGTAGACTGTTATTTGTGATCTAGTGCGCTATTGTCTTATTAAGACTTACAGGTACTTACACTTGCTCATTCTAGTATAACAGGTATCGTATTTTCATACCAGATTATTAATATGTAAGTAATGCAGAAGCCTGCTCTAACTTCTGCTGTAATATCTCTAACATAAAATTATTACACTTCCAATGAATGCTCACCTATGGATGCTTCAGCAACGAAAGTATTTCATGTTATAGTTAGGTTCAAATCTATTCGTGATTTTAAAATGCATTCTGTATGGCCAAGGTTTCAAAACCTTTGACAACCACTAAATAGCAGGAGGAAGAGTCCAGAACATCCAGAATTAAAATTTAATTTAAAGGTACTTGTTCAACCGTGAACATCAGAATCACAATAAAAATATTTCTGTGTACAGTTTTACTGAAGAAATATAGACAAACTTGTGAAATTCGATGGTAAGGCACCGTGGGAAGCATATAGAGCAAAATATGAGCTCCTGTCAGAAATTAATGGGTGGACAAAAGAGCAGAAAGCAATGTACCTGAAGGGACAACCACTAGAAATACTTGGACAGTTGTCAGCACTGGTAGCTGCTCTAGAACTCAGCTATGGCTGCAATGGCCAGAGCTCTTGAATTCGAATCCTACGTTAAGTCTAGCACAGAGGTACCAATGTTGGTACAGACATCAGGATTCAAGGCCAGAAAAAGGCAGCTTTCAGAGACGTTTGAGGTACTTTGCTGGCACTGTAACAAACCTGGGCACAAGATAGCTCAATGCCGGCAACTTCAACACTGGGAAGATGCCACGGCGGGAAAGGCTGCTACACAGAAAGTTTGTTGTAACTGTGGGGAGCAAGGACATATTAGGAGCCAGTGTAAGAAGAATACTACCAATAAGTCATCCTCGGGAAAACCAGTAGTGAAACCCCCATTGTGAAAATCCCAACAGCTAAGTGTAAAATAGCAAGCACATATAGTGTCTACATGAGAGGAAAGCTGGATGGCCAAACGTGCAACTTTGTCATAGACTCTGCATCTCAGCAAACTATTGTGAGTATGAAGGTGCTAGGTCACAAAGGAGTACCAGAAGCCATACAGAAGCTCTGTGGTGTGAGAGGACATTA